TAGAGAGCCTGGTCTCTGTCCACCCTGGCTTAGACAACGGACGACTGTAAACACACTGTCGTACCTTTTCTATCACTGATTTTAGAGAGCCTGGTCTCTGTCCGCCCTGGCTCAGCCAACGGACGACTGTAAACACACTGTCCTACCTTTTCTACGTGCAGCTTGGCAGGGGCGAAGTCCTCATCCAGGGCTAAGCACTGGAGGAAGAGCTGTAAGGCGTCGCCCAGGAAGCCGGCGTCCTGGAGGACCTTTCCCTTCCGGAAGTAGACCTTCAACAAAGCACACACATCAAGCGTTAGGACTCTTGACCAAAACCATCCGAGAAACAAAGCGTGCTCAGACATGCTGATTCTGCAGCCGAGTGACCCTGAGAAGGACAAAGCGTGTGGAAGCCTACCTGTTACTCCAAAGAAATACTAATGGGTAAACTGAGGCCCTCAAAATGACTGGACCGATGTTGATAGCAGTTAGTGTTTCTCAAGACCAGAGACACATCTTCACTTGACAAATTACTGATGTAAAGATTTATCTTTTATGTGTGTATACATGCAGGTACCCGAGAAGGCCAGAAGAGGGTGTCTGAATCCCCAGGAACTAGGGTTAACAGGTGGTTATGAACTGGCCCCCACAGGTGCTGGAAACTAAACTCAGGTCCTCTGGAAAAGCAGCAAGTGATCTTAACTGTAAACACCCCAAATCACCAATTGAAAGATTACTCATATAAAACGTTGTCTGAGGGAAACAGGAAATAACATGTAGAATTTATTGACTTTAAGATGTATCAGAAGCATGTATTAAAAAGCATGTAAAACCCTCATCTTTAAATCAGGGCGAATAATATTAATATTTAAATTATGTGTGATTTCTTCCAATACATTGAATAGATCATTACCAGTTACAAATAATTTCAGTAAAATTTAAATAACCTTGTAACTGTTAGTGACAAAGAGTCTCGGTAAAATTTAAGTTATTATCTTATAGTTCTGAACAAACAGAAGCTGCTACTCAACTTTCAAATGTGTCCAGTAAACAACCTATGCATGTAAATAATTCAACAATTCATGCTATGGTGGGCTGTATATTCAAGCTAAAATATGGCTGGGTGGTGGTGGCGCACACCTTTAATCCCAGCACTCGGGAGGCAGAGCCAGGTAGATCTCTGTAAGTTCAAGGCCAGCCTGGTCTACAGAGTGAGATCCAGGACAGGTGCAAAACTACACAAAGAAACCCTGTCTGGAAAAAAAGAAAAGAAAAATCAAGCTAAAATACAATGTTCATACTATCTACAGAATGTGAGGGGATGAATTCAGGGCAGCAGGCCAACATCTCCCAAGTTACTAAGGAATATATCTTTCTCTCTCTCTATTTTGAGACAGGGTTTCTCTGTGTAGCTTTGGAGCCTGTCCTGGAACTCTCACTCTGTAGACCAGGCTAAACTTGAACTCACAGAGATCCGCCTGCCTCTGCCTCCCAAGTACTGGGATTAAAGGCGTGTGCCACCACTGCCTGGCATATCTTTCTCTTTAGTCTGTTTTAAGTAAGAATTTATAGACACAACCTTGTCAAAATCCTTGTCCTGTCTTATTTTTCTACATGATATGAGTTCAAGTTCTATGACAAAAGGTGAATCCTAGAAATCACCATTAATTCAGCAAAGATTCAGTGTGTGGGTCACTTATACAGCAGGCAGTTTGGAAACATCTTATGTGGTCAGAGTCTTCCAAGTCACAGGCTCACGAGTGCTACACAGCGTGAAAGGACACTAAATACTGTCCACGTCAGTTCTTGCTATCATTTAAATTAGTAAAGAAAATCACATTTCTTTATAAAGAACATAATTTTGGGTTATTTTATGTGTATGGTATTCGGTCCACATGTGTACCACATGCATGCCTGGTGCCTGTGGAGGACAGAAGAGGGCATCAGATCCCCTAGAACTGGAGTTACAGACATTTGTGAGCTGCCACATCAATGTCGGGAATTAATCTGGGTCCTCTGGAAGAGCAGCCAGTGCTCTTAACCATTGAACCATCCCTCCAGTCTGAAAACTATACTTCTTATTACACCATTTCAGTGAAGTCACCAGAGGGCTCGTTTCTTTTTAAGTCTGAATGCTGTTTTCCTTGTGCGAACAACCAGGAGAAGTGTGTCGTTTATGAGAGAATCCTTATTGGACTGTCCTTAAAGACAGTTTTGAGTGGAAGAAGAAAGTCATACAAAAGACCATTTCTAGCTCAGAAAAAGGCAAATCAGGAGACTCGGTAAGTGGATCACATCTCATATACATACATCCCTTGGTCCTTGTAAAAATACCCAGGCAAGACCTACTTCTGAACCAATTCCCTGTGCAGTCACCTCACTGCGACTCCACCACCTCCCAGCGTCGCCCGGCTTAGAGGACTATGTGCTTCCCACTAACAAACTCTTGGTGAGATCGCATGGATCCATCTTTACAAGGCAGTAAGTGGAAATTTTTATTTAAAAAAATTGTGTAACATTTTTCTGTGTCATGAATTGTTTGTTCTTTACTTGGGAAACAAAGGAGTTTAACAATCCATCTTTTCTGATAATAAAATTTGCTTAAAATACTTACCTTACCTAAATTTCTAGGAAGCTATGTATTTCTTTTCAAAAATGATTTTCATTTGTGTATGTGTTCATGTGTAGGCAGGTGTGCACGGGGACCAAAGGTCAACCTCTGGCACTCTTCAGGCACCAGCTTATGAGCCCCAGGGCTCTGCCTGTCTCTGCCTTCCTGGATTATAATCCTGTAGCAAGACACCTGCTTTTTACATATGGGTCCTGAGGCTTGAATTCAGGCCTTTAAGCTTGTTTGGTAAACATTCAGTGACTTAGCTCCAAACTGTATTTCATCTGAGGCCAACCATCCATTCTGTTAAGACCTGTAGCTCTAAGTGAAGTTGCTCGTAGCTGCCACTTTAAAATTCATGCAAACGTGACCGTCAGTCATCTTACCTCAGGCCAGTTTGGAAGCTGAAAGAGAACTGCATTCAGATCCTCTATGGCTGCTTTAAACTCCTGGAGGCCAGCGTAGGACTCTGCTCTGTAGATTTTGAGAGTCAGGTCACTAGGCTCTGAAATAGACATTTCACAAGGATATAATTAATTTAGAAAGATTACTATAATAATCTGCAAAATATTATACTAGCTTAAGAAAAGACTTGAGTCCAAAGCCAAGAACTACCAATTTAAAGTTTATAAATCAAGTACAGCATACATGCAACACACTTCTTATATTAAAAGTTGAACACAAGTTTTGTCATAAGATTAGTTTAGTGACGAGAATTATAATTAGGAACACTGGAAATATTTTTGTGATTAAAAAAAATTACTTGTGAAAAAACTTTTTTCCAAAAAAGTACCCTATAAAGATTTTCAAGCCACGTCTTACATGTTTAGAAACTTGTCTGTTTTGAAACTTTATCAATTAAAATAGAATTATATTACTCACCCCTGAAACTTTAATTTATAAGTCACTGTTTATAAAAACAAAAAACTAAAACCACTTCAGATAAAGTGATGGGAGTGTCCAAGGTTCAGTCTCATGACAGTGTAAAGGGGTCCTGATTCTAAAGGGAATGGATTGATCAGAATTAGTTTGTATGTGGTCAAATCTTTAATTCCCAGCCACAGCAGGGCTTGTACCTAAATACACACATCTAGTTTCAAATGCTCCTGGAAACCAGCTGTTCCCCTCACTGTCCTTTATGCGCGTGCTTGAAAGACCAAACTATTATCCAGTAGCTCCAGGACTCAGGCACTTAGCTGGTCCTCTGCTATTACTCTAACTAATTACTACAGGTGCTCAAACCGTCAGCTAAAGCCTAAGCAAACATTTAATACACTATTGATGAGGTTCAGCTGAGTCTTCTTTAAAGCTATTCATCTTTCAGCTTTCAAAATCTTATGTTTATAAAATAAAGCATTTGTTGTAAATGACACTTAATGCCTCCAAAAACACATTTAATAAAACTCAGTAGTTCTAATTTACTCTGGCTTTTAAGTAAGTTTTTTCCACAGATAGCCCCCACTTTAGAACTCAATTAGGCACTTTCAAGTCTCTGCAGCATACTTAAGGACTCAATTTTACATTCCCTCAACTTTACATTGATGAAAAACCTGGAATCAATATTTCATGAGAAACACCTTACTTCCTAAATAAAAAGACCCGGTAGCTGCACACAGGAACTCACAATGGTGGTGACGGCTTGCACAAGCCAGACACATTCTCAAACCAGAGCAAAGCCCAGCATGGTGAGGGGAGGCAGACAGGAAGTCCCACCCCTAGCGGAGGAGCCTAGCAGCTGATGGCTGCTGGGAGATAAGAATCTGTTTCAAGATGGCTGCCAAGGGGTAGGCCAACCATCGCCAGGGGAAGGCCACACATCCATGAATCCACGGGCCACACAAATTGCATTTGGTGGGTGGGGGGAAAAAAAAGGAGGACCCAGAGTTGGGATGGGGAGTGGATCTGGGAGGAGTTGGGAGAAAGGGGATATGTGACCCAGACTTGTCGCATGAAATCTCAAAGACCTGATAAAAAGTACTTTGAAAAGGCAGGACAAAGATGCCATGTTTCTTCTTAAAGCAATAATTTAAAACAAACTGAACAAAACTGCACAGAAATTTTAAAAGCCCAGTGACTGACTGATCAACCAAAAATTAAAGAGCTCCCTTCCATTCCACCTGCCTCTGAGCATCTTACAATCTAAGGGGTAAACAGCATCAGCAGTGCTGACTGGGGAGCCCAATGTGCGAGCCAACACCACCCAAAATGTGTAACTTCGCATCACAGCTCAGGGGCTTCCAGCTGCCTCGGTGACGCAGGGGCCCCTCGAGAGGTAGTTCCGGGCAGAAGCACGACCCCCGTCCATCCCTGGAGTCCTCGGCGGGCTTCTTCTCCTGTCACAAGTTTACACAGTTCTCACCGTGCTTGGCACACGGTGCACACTCCCATCGTCCCATCCACCTGCTGGGACTGGAGTGTGAACCCGCTTCCTCCTGCTCCCGGGAGCACCTGGCCTCCGGCTGCTGGCAGTTTGTGGAGGTCGGGAATGTTTTGCACCGTGGGGTCTGGATGGCAGATCCCCCTGGGCTAGAGGGCTGTAACCTAGCCGGTTTCCAGTCAGATGTGCTTCCTGGTTGGGGTCATGTACAGTGCAGTCCCACCCTAGTTTGCCACCACCATGAGGCCACCGCGTGCCACGCTTTCCTGGTCACCGTGCATAAATACATGTCATTCTACAACAAGAAAAGAAGGAGCTGTCCTCACGCTGACAAAAGCGGAAAAGGGGCCGTATCTTCTCTACAAACACTCAGCTACGTCGCCCGCCTAAAGCCAGTCCTAAAAAGTGGGTGCACTTGGAATAAGAGAAGAGGTATATATACTCTGAGAAGAGAGGAAAACAGAGCTGGAATAATTTACAACACTTGCCCAGCTCCCTGAAGGTCAAAGGTTAACGGAGTCATTATTCTGAGTGACTCCATTAGCAAACAGCAGTGTGTCAGTGAGCTCACACTTTGATCACTTCTGAAGAAAGCAGGGCCACCCCACTCACTCACTTCCCATTCTCAATTCTCCCAGGGACCCAAGCACACTACTTCAGGCCCTTTGGATATTCAAGCATACAGAAGGTTTACTCGCCGCAGAAACTTTCAAGAAAGCCAACTGAAAACAGCACCCTGCCCTGACTGTCGTCAACCCAAGGTTGAAGGTCAACAAGGATGAACCACCTGCTCCGCACTTGAAGACACTGGAGTAAACGCAGGACTTTACCACCTGGGTCACCACAGAGGACCCCAGCCCACTACTGCAGGTGTCCACTGCAGGCACCCGGCACATGCCTGGCATGTTATACACTCTGTTGAAAAGTGAGGAGCTGGGATGACATGGTTTGGGCTAACCATACTGAGGGAAATCACTGTGGTTCTTAAGAGCCTGGCACTGTGGGGCCCACCTGTCACCTCCACATTCAGGAGTCTGGAAGATCCTGAATTAGAGGCTAGCCTGGTCTACCTGATAAATTCTAGGACTACATGGTGAGACTTGGCCAAAAACAAGATGAAAAAAGATGTGGTCCTGAACTCTGTGATCTCATCTAGCTGTTCCCTGCCACCAGGCATGTATCTAGTTCCTTGCCATTATTTACCTCTAGGGTCTGTCCCCTCAGTCTTGAATTTCCACCCTAATGTCACAACCATACTTCCATCTGCCTGCTATGGCTCTCCTCCAGTCAGCCTGTTCTCCATCAGAAAGTTCTCTACTCATTTCTATGAGTGATCGCGCTGACTTCTCAAATCAACGTCATCCTTAGAGCCGGTAAGTCTCTTCTCTTTCCCAATTCTCCTGCCAGGAGTCCTAAGTTGGGCTCCTGTTAGAGGAGCTAGCTTTTTCTCCAGCCAATAGCTTTACCTGTCTTCACCACCCACAAGACAGAGATGTGAGTGAAGGCCCTGCCTCTTTCGGCCTTACCTCTTATCATCACCACCCCCCACCACACACACACACACCCCATTTCAATTCCCAATGAGAGACGACTGCTCTTCGGATGCCAGTCTACGTCCCGACTCCTCCCTTGGCTCGGTCTTCCCTCCTCATCCTTCTGTCCTTTACGTAACCCTCTTCTTCTCTGCATGACTTTTCCATCCAACATGTGACTCAGCTCACCAACCTCCTTTCAGGATGCTTTCCTCTGGAGTCTGCCTTGGTACAGAAGATCATTAGGATCAACAGTGTGTGAGGTCAGACGACTTGGCCCCTCCTCACTGTCATCTGGGGAAAATGACAAATATCCTTTACTTCACTTAGCTCTGCCTGATGGGGTTTAAGGTTTTCAAACTTTAACCAAAAAAAAAAAAATCTTGCACATTAGAACGGGTGTGTCCATGCCACAGCACCCATGTGGAGGTCAGGGGACAATCTTGAGCATCAAACCCTCAGCTTCTACCTAAAGATACCGTCTCTCTTGCTGCAGCTGCCAGGCTGGCTGGCCACTGAGCTTCTTGCCAAACGTTTTCGTTTTTTGCCTCTCACCCCACTATAGAGATGCCAAGGTGACAGATCCACAGTACTGCCTCAAGCTCTACTTGAGTGTCCATGCTTGCACTCACCTAGGAAGACATCACCCCACCCCACCCCGAAATTTATTCTTATGAGACTGGGCCTGGTGGCTCGGATTTGTAACCTCGCCTACTAGGGAGACAGAAGCGGGAAGATCTCAAATTCAAGGCCTGCCTAGGCAACTTAGTGAGGCCTGTCAAATTAAAACGTGAGAAGAAGAGCTGGGGATAAAGCTTGGTGCTGTCGGGCTTGCCCGCGCGCATGAGACCCTGGCTGTAACCCATGCAACTTGCCCACGCTGGTAATGACAGACTCAAGATTCTCAACCCGGCGTTCATGCTGTTCACCTCCACACAGCTAGTAATGAGAAATGAGCACAGGACTGACGCATGGGACACGTGGCGGGCTAGGCTGATTTTATCCGTCACTCTGTGTGCACAGCATTGGAAAGCAGCTCCATGTTGAGATACGGGACGTCTCCGTCTCTTACTCTGTGTCCTGAGTGTTTTGTGATCTAAGGGAAACACTAAACCCTGAGGAGCCCTCTGAACTCCTCGGTCAAGTTCTCATTTCCCCTTGCACTTGGTACTGCCATCATTAGACAGAGCAGCTGAAGAAACTAGGTGGGCTGCCCACGCACACCATGAACTGAAGGGGTTCTCCAGCCATGGTTCCTCATCACCGTGTCTATCTTCAGAGATCTACAACATTAGTGAGAATCTTAAAAGCTGTTTCTTTAATCCACCTTAGAGTTTTGTTTTGTTTTGTTTTGTTTTTTGGCCATAGTGCAAAAGTTCTAAAATGCATACTGAGAAATTAAAAAATAAAGAAAGTTAGGAATTAAGCTGGATAGGGTGGTACATGTTATGACTTTGGCATGTGGGTAGGCTGAGGCAGGATAGGGAACTTGAGGCCAGCCTGTACTAATTGTGTTCAAGGTTAGCTTACATGATACAGTAAGAACCTACCTCAAAAGATATGTATGTGTGTATATATGTATACATGCATATATATGTGTATATGTGTGTGTATACACACACACACACACACACACACACACACACACACACACACACACACACACACATATATATATTCCCCTCTCACTCCCCATCATCTCTAAATAGCCAGTATCTGTACATCAAAAGACAAAATCAAGGTACACTAGCTGAAAGCTTTATTCTAGGGGAAGAAGAGCAAGCTGAGGTGGAGGCGGCAGCGGAGGCAGGTGGTACCCTGGGCAACCAGGAAACTAGTGACAGGCGAGCTCCTCTTCCAGCTGTTCCAGCAGCAGTGATGGACTAAGGATCGCACGCCTCCATCACCACCAATAACTCAGACTATTCTCTCCTCCAGAAAATCGTCAGGGACAGGTAGGGATGAAGTGTTCTGAGCTGTCCCATATGGGACTTCAGGAATCCACATCTGCACCAGCCAGGAGTCTCACCATCGGCTCAGTTACACGAGTTTTAGTTGAACCCGTCTTCAAACTCCCCAAGGTGCACAGACACCATCATCACTGCACACTGCCAGTGGAGTTCTCGTCCTACCCAGCTGTGACCTGATCATGGATCGCAACAAGCATGAGTCTATATGGAGGCAGAGACGGTTTCTTAACAAAGACAGGAGGCATGACCACAGGAACCATGACAATGGAAACCATACAGAAACTAGTAAAGACAGAGAGTGCCTGTCACCTCAGCGTAAGTGTCAAAAAAAAAAAATTGTTTGACAGCCACTTCAGGCCCTGGAACTAAAGTGGTCTGAATTATTTTTGAAAATCTATAAAGAAGAGCTTTACAATTTGCCATGTTTCTTTATACAAACTTTAAAATCCACATCTAGTTTTATACAGAAGAATTGTGGTTCCAGCTTAGTTACACTGATAACCTCTCAGTGCTGAGATCCATCCATCTATCTGTCCATCTATCTGTCCTCTGTCCATCTGTGTGTCTGTGTAGTATCAATCTCGCACTGAACCTGGAGGTCACCAATTCAGCTCACCAGCAAGCACCTCCTTCTTTCTCCCCAGCCTTGGGATTGCAGGCAGACGCTAATATGCTCAGCTTTTTCCATAGGTACTGGGCAGAGAACTCAGGTCTCCGCGCTTGTGTGGCGAGAACTGTATATAATGCCTCATTTCCCCAGCCCCATCTGTGGGTTTTATGAAGAGAGAAAGGTTTCTATAATAGGAAGTGCCACAATTCTTAACAATTTCTGACAGCTTGGGATGGGCGAAATGTATAGATTAGCTGTATTATAGAATAAGTATTTTAAATACAGTATCTATTATACTGAAAGAAATCTCTTCCAGTGTGTCATTTTGGAGTGCTTGAAAGAAAACATCCAAGTTGAAAGGGATATGCATGTTCTGGTAATCAGAAAATATGCTTTTTCAGTGATTGATTTTTATTAGCATTTTGAGAAAACTTATTGGTTACATTTAGGGATAAACCGTATTATTTACCTCAAAAGTATAGGTTCTGTAAAAGGTTTCAATGATTTTTAAAACTCTAATTGAACACACAGGTCAAAATCTAAGCATGTTACTCTGTCCTAAAATTTCAGAAGTTTTTCATTAAACCACATTTGATGTATGGCTGTACCCACTGGATATTTATTACCTATCTCTACATGTTCACCTGTGCATTAAGATTAGTGTTGCAATTATTTTTCAAGGAGAACAAAATGTCAATGCATAGTCAGATAAAACTCTGAATCAGTTTTACTAAAAGTATTCTTTTTGAGGTAAAGACTCACGAAGCCATATAATGGGGAGACAATGCCCTACCAGTATGTCTTATGCCACGTTAAAATTGACATTTCAATCAGAAGAGATCTGCATTTCTCACGGCAATCCCATAGAGTTCAAATATCACCTCGCTGTGTAGGCCAGTCCACTTAGGCATGTACATTGACTACAAAGAGACAGGCTAATGATACACCCTCAGGCGATGCAGGACTCTTAGCAATAAGTTCCTACATTGGGTGTGTGCAAAAAATGTCCTCGTTGATGACCTTATTATTTCTTCCTTATTTATATATTAAACTATCAAAATATCCAATGATTAACAAAAAAAATAAACTTTCCCATTATTTTTTGAGTAGTCACAGGTAAGGAGAAAGATCCCAACTGAGGTGGGGATCCCAAGATGTGGGTTCAGGTTCCCTTCAGGCAGCTTAACTCTTTGGCTCTCTGTTCCCCCACCTAGAAAGTGCTTCTCTATAAAACAGTTCTATCGGCAGGCATGGTAATACACGCCTTTACCCCAGCACTCAGGAGGCAGAGCAGGATTATCTCTGGGAGTTTGAGGCCAGCCTAGTCTACAATGTGAGTTCCAGGACAGCTAGGGATGTTACACAAAGACAGCCTGTCTTTAAAAAAAAAACAAAAACAAAAAAACAACTTTTATCTTAAAATCACTAAAAAACTGAATAAAATAACAAATGAAAGGAAAAACTAGACAGGCCTGGCACGCAAGTGCTCAAGCAGTACCAAGAGTGTCAATGACATGGCGACAATTTCAGAATGTCATCAAAGCAGCCGATTGACTCTTGATGTGTTTTAGAAGAGGGTGCTCCACCTTGTCATTTACCCACATAAATCTCAGACGAGAAGATAAACATCTTTGGGGATCAGGAATGGAGACAGGACACCACAGCCGTCCAAAGTGCGTTGAGGAGAAGAAGAGTTAAACAAAGCTACTGTCTTGCAGATCAGAGTGTTCGGAGGGAATTCATTTTCCGTAACAACTCAATTCCAATTCTGAAAAATACCTCATAATAAAAGAAATGGAAAGCTATACCATGTTATCTAAAATGTTACTTGAGGAGGTTGGAGAGATGGCTCAGTAGTTAAGAGCACTTGCTATTTTTGCAGAGGACCCAGGTTCGATTCCCAGCACCCATACTGGGCACTCGCTAATAGACTGTAACTCCAGCTCCAGGGAACCTGACATCTCTTCTGGCCTCTGCAGGCACTGGTACACACATGGTGTGTGTGTGTGTGTGTATGTGTGTGTGTGTGTATGTGTGTGTGTGTGTGTGTGTGTATGTGTGTGTGTGTGTGTATATGTATATATATGAGATACATGCATTTACACACACAAATTTTAAAAATAACAAATCACGCCGGGCGGTGGTGGCACACGCCTTTAATCCCAGCACTCGGGAGGCAGAGCCAGGTGGATCTCTGTGAGTTTGAGGCCAGCCTGGGCTACCAAGTGAGTCCCAGGAAAGGCGCAAAGCTACACAGAGAAACCCTGTCTCGAAAAACCCAAAATATATATATATATATATATATATATATATATATATATATATAATAACAAATCACTAAAAAATGAAATATTTTAAATTAAATAGAAACAATTTTGAATAAATAAAGTTACTGTACAAATCTAAGGTAACTATTTTGGTATACTTTTCATTATTTGATGACTAAGTGACAGGTAAAATATGGAAAGTACTTATTTAAAACAGGATACTTAAAAGGTATTTATAGGGCCAGGCTTTTCCATCTTCTACAACAAAAAGACTATTATATCAGTCTTTTTAGTAACACAAAGGTCTTTTTTGTAAAGACCTTTCAAGCTCCTCATTAACTAAATGACTGTAGTATCAATTAATTAGAAGTCCATAATTAACAAATTCAATTCTTAAAAATATTTTTGAATAAATATCATTTTGCTACAATTAAATAAACAACCAATAATACAAACTCTGCAATGACAGGGACTTTATTTTATTCTTTTTTTTTTTCTTTTTTTTTTGGTTTTTCGAGACAGGGTTTCTCTGTGTAGTTTTGGTGCCTTTCCTGGATCTCGCTCTGTAGACCAGGCTGGCCTTGAACTCACAAAGATCCGCCTGCCTCTGCCTCCCGAGTGCTGGGTTTAAAGGCGTGCGCCACCACCTCCCGGCTTATTTTATTCTTTATTGTATTTCCAGAACCTAAACCATATAGCATATGTTCCTGCCATATCAAAGATACTCCGTAAATACTTGTTGAATGAACAGTATGGAGAATTAATATTCCTTATATGCTAATACTTCTTCAATCTACTCCATTTGCAGGGGCAAGTCACCTGGTTTCTGCTTAGTTCTAACTTGACTATTGGTCTTAGACACCATCTGCAACTCGGGCTTTCTTTCCCCAGCCCATGAACTAGAAACACTGATGCTTGCCTTTCAGTTCACACGGGTTTTGTGGGGTTCAGCTAAGATGATGGGAATGAAAATATTCTGTGAACTATAAGAAGCACATATCTGCCCGTGTTCTTTGTGCAACAAGGATATAAATATGTTTAGAGCAAATTAAAATGCAATCATTTGAAACTGGTTGAATTGTGCGATTCTCTTTACACATATTCAGAATGTATTTAATTTTATCAATCTTTTTATAACTAAAACTTTGTAGTACCTTTTGTTTCCCCAAACTGATATAGCAAGCTGCTACTAACTGGCATGTATACTCTACAATCAGGATTTCACTTTTATTTGGTAATAATGTATATAGAAACTGGAATTGAGCATGAAACCACAAGGCTTAGATTTCAGTTTCAGCGAATTCACTAACAATAACAAAGCATTCGCACTGTGAAACTGTCTATGGTTTTCTGGGAATTTACTGTGTGAGGCACTTTTTTTGAAGCAGTTCACATGTTTCAATCAATTGATTCTCACAGCATCCCTCTGAAAGAGAGACCACGCTCACGTTTTAGACAAGGAAACCAGAGCACAGAGAGGTCAGGCCACATACCCAGGCCACACAGTAGGTAGAGGCTGTATCGGGGACTTGGTTAGGTAGTCTGCTTCCAGCGTGCATTGTCATTAGTCATAAAACATCTCTAGCTTTAGAGGCCTCAACTTCCTTCTGAAGGCTCTCTGGAGGATCCATTCACACATATAAAACTACTGAGAGTCAAGAACTATAAAATTAATATTAAAGACAAAAATCTGGGCAGGTAAGAGAGCTCAGCCAGTAAAGACATTTGCTGCCAAGCCATTCCCAGGTCCAACATGAAGGAAGAGAAGCGATTCCCACAAGCTGTCCTCTGGCTTCCACACACACCCCATGGCATGTATGTGTGCACATGCAATAAAGTAAATAAATGAAAACATAAAAAAAAAAACTCAAAAATGTCCTCCTTCCTTTAACAATTTAAATAAAAGCGCACACTGGATTTTTTAACAAGCCAGTTCAAATTGTCTGTTACACTGTTCTGTTTTCATTTGACGAGTGGACACAGGAAAGGGGGGGGGGGGTCAGTGTGAAACTCCAGTATGAAAAGACAGCAGCACTCCACAGTGGGATCAGTTCAAAAGACTTGAGCATAAAGATTCAAAGCAGCAAAGACTTTTACGTAAGCTCCCTGAATACTAAGAGGAAAGTTATGAAACATCTGAGAGTTAATACCAAAAGATCAATGGATTAAATGTTATCTAAATATATTTCAATGCAACAGAACCTTATGTAATCTCAATGGGACTTCTGATTTTTTGGCAAGGGTTTCCAAGCTTGCTTTTTCTGTCGACAGGGACAAGTTCGGTTGTGTGTGGGCCAAGTGCAGACTGGATTATTTTTTTCTAATAGTATTTGTTCCATTCTCAGAAACACAAAAAATTACAGCAAAGGATTTTTTTCCCATTATCAACAATGACAGGACCGTTAATAACTATAGTTGGGACAATTATAAATACATTTCAAATGCTGACCTAGCTAATTCACCAACTGCAAGAAAAAGTTAACCCTGGCAACTGTGCAAACGGATGTACGAGGCTAGCAGCTAGCAAACTGTGGTGGGTAGTTTGTTTTGAAGGCCGGGGATGCAGAGCAGAATAATACACATGCCAGGCGAGCACTCTACCCCTGAGCTACATGCCCACTCTTATTAATGCCCGTAAATTATGAAACATAAATTTGCCATCTACCAACTAAAATGTTTTCTCTAATTGTTCTCCTATCTCACATGAAGAATTCAAAAGATAAAAATATTATTCCCATTAATATCATTGAGATACATATTCAGGTGTAGAATTACTGATTCTTGAGAAACCTACAAATAAGGGGGAAAAATAATAAACCAATAAGCCAACAAAGTGAAAGGCAAGAGACCTGAGTTCTAGTCCTGCAAAAGTGTGGTCACATAGCTTGTAGGCAAATTCTACACGTGGTCTGTGAAGCTCAGAAACAAAAGAGTTCATCACTCGCGGCTTTTTCTATTAAAGATAATGTCCTGGTCTAAGCCCTAGAATCTTAATATTGGGCAGTAGTAAGTTCCTACTTAGGAAATGAACTCATTATTCCCCCATGACAGGACCTGAATTGATCAGATCAAATAACTACATCAGAAGCTAATAAAATATTGCTTCAAGTTTCACTCTCAATTATATACTAATGACAAAAAAAAACTTTCATTGGAAATATGCATTAAATTTTGGTGAACTATAGAGACAGATGAACCCCAGTCAACACATAAAAATGGAGGGTCTGAGCTGCCTATACAAGCCACCACCCAGGTGACTGTGGACAAGTCAGTTGTCCCAGTTCTGCTTCCTCATTAAGGTCAGACCACAGCCTGTTACTGGATGACTGGAACAGGCACGTCCAGCTTCCCTACTTGACTTTATTCACCCAGGTAGCTAGTCACCCCCACCAGAACCGTGGCTTCCAAAGCTTTCTTTTGTTCTGGATTTATCATTCCAGTTTATTAGCGCCTGCTCCTCATGGAGATCTTGGAAGAAAATGAAAACATGCCATATTTGTGCTCTAAAGTCTAGGGGTATAACTGAAGCTACTTGTTCAATATGACTAAAAGACTCACGAGATGATAAACAGTTTATAACTTACCTAAAACCTAAAATCAGCTCATATTTCCAGGGTCACTGATTTCCTGGGAGCTATTCCCGTAAGTAATTTCTTGTAACAGGCAAGAGATACAAAGTATACCCAACACCAGGTGACTAACGATGATACTGTAGACGTTTGGGCCTGATTAGTTTTTCATGTAGGAGGCTGTGAGTCTCGGAATGTTCAGCAGCATCCTTAGAAGGGCTTTAGATGTCTGTACTGACACGACCCCCACAAGGGGTGGCCATCCAAAGATGTCTCTAGATGCTTTTCTAGATAAGGTCCCCTGATGTAAAATCCCCAGGCGGTGAGCCCCCGCACCCTCACCCTCACCCTCACCCCGCTTCCCTGGCCCGGTACTGAATAACCGAATTCAAAGATCTAAAGAGAAACTTCGTAGTTTTGCTAAGTTTGCATGACCCTTTTTCGCAGCAGCCTAAAGTCATCTCAAGAAAAACGCTGAGCGGGAGACGAGGACAAGGCTGCTGCTTCTTGGAGACGAAAATATAAACAAAAGACAGACAAAGCTTCCCTTCACAGGTCGACTGTGAGTAAGGCAAACTCTTGATGGGAGGCAACCTCTCCACCAACACCAGGGGGTATGTGGGAGCACGCCCAGCGGTCTATGGAAGCGGGATCTGAGATAGGCAGGTGGCGGTTCCAGGAGCAAGCGATCCCGCAGGCGCTTTCAGGTACGAGTTGTTGACCACCTCGTGGGCAGCCGGCCACCAACTCCGAGGAGCCCGGCCGCCGCTTGGGCCTCCGGGTGCCGGTGCCCGCGCCGAGCTCCTGCCACGCCCACCGAACGTCACCCGTTACACAACGCCCCCCCACCCAGCTTATGCAATTCTGCCCTCCCGTGGCTTCCAATTGCCCCGGTGACTTTAGTGCAAGACCAAGGTAGACGCGGTACCCCCGAGCCCCGCCTCGTCCGTGGCGGGGGGTGGGGGGTGGATGCTCGCCCCACCCCGGGCCGGGGGGTTTTCCCGGACAGCGCGCAGCGGGAAACCCGAGGCCCCCACCCACCCACCCCGCGCCCG